TGGAACAGGCTGTCCAGGGAAGTGGTGGAGATACCATCCCTGGACGTATTTGAAAGACAGGTGGATGTGGTGCTTAGGGGCATGGTTTAGTGGTGGGCTTGACAGTGGGAGGTTAATGATTGGACTCGATAATCTTAAAGGTCTTTTCCAGCCTAAACAATTCTATGGTTCTAATGCACCTCAGCAGGTCTTTGATATGTCTGCTCTGCCATAAGCTTAACTTATGCCTTAAGGTAAAGGAGGATAACAGATCTCTGAATCATATTTCTTGCATCCCTTCAGCCAAAACATTCCCATCAGTAATGCTGCAATTTTTGTTAAGGCAAACAGTGAATGAGTTGTTGATCTCTGCCCACAGTATTATAACACATGTAAAAAGTGCTAGACAGGCATTACACATGGGCAAATGGGTACTATAGGAAAAAAGGCTGTTTTTTTCTCGCACGTGTCAAGGCTACATTTTATTTTCTTCTATAAAGAGAGCTGGCACACATGAAGAGCCTTTTTCATTGGGATCAAATTCCTTCTTTAATTGCTTCTGTGATAATCCTAATCTTTCTGTTAACAGGCATCCTTCATAACTGCTGTGAAGCCTACAATGTTGGGCTCCTAGAAGCAAAAATATTTTCTGGCCCATCAAGAGAGCAGTTTGGATATGCAGTTCAACAGTTCATAAATGAAGGCGGCAAATGGTAAGAAGATCGAACAGTTTGTATGTCCAGTTAAAAGGTTAAGGAAAAAATGTTGTAGCTTGTTTTTTCTCTTGTAATTCCACGTTTCATTTAAATGCATTCCAGTTAATTCTTTTTTACATTAGAGTTGTCCTTTTGAGAATAAATAATTATGTTATTAAAACAAAAGTTGAAATATTCTGAAGATATATGCATGTGAAAGTTCAGGCTTTTTTTCTTTACACAATGCGATATGAGGTCTTTCTTCCTGTTAATAGTTTACTTTAATCTCCAATATACAAGTTTCCTCAGGCTCATGATTTCTGTAGGATTTTAACTTATTTAATTCCTTCCTGTACAAATAGCATTTTTCTTACACATTACACATGTGGGATATCTTTCCATTTTAACATTGTTGAGGTTAAAACAAATTATTAAGGCTGGAATAATTAATATTAAAATTAAATGAACATATATCATTTTAAGTGTCTGCTTCTCAAGGGACGGCATATTTGGATATATGTAATAACACAATCCTAGCAAAGGCCTTGGGACCTATACGTCTCTTCAGCCATAAAATTTGATGTGAAATCACTGTCAACACAACATTTGGCTTGATGAGTAATCAGTAAAATTTTTTACTAGTAATGTTGGTTTCAAAAAGCACTTCAAAATATTAACCCAGAGTAAAACCATTTAGCATAGAACACATTGTTTCCTCTTCTGCACCTCAGCAAGCATAAAGCTTAAGGTGTCTTTCATGGCAGCGACTGTATGTTTATAAATAGTTCAGTGGTACTCAACTACTTTAAGTGGTTACTTGTGGATATATAGTTTTAACTCTATAGCAGAAAGTAACACAAATTTTATATATATTATCATAAGCCAAGACAACATTTTAGATGTGTCATTCTCCATAGATTGAAATAGTGTCAAAATCAAAATAGCTACAAACTGGCATGTTTGCTTAAGTGATGATGGATGGATAGTAAGTAACTGAACTTTTTTTGATATAAAGAAAATAAGATGTCGAAATCTGAAATCCATGGAGATGCATATGAAAACGTATTTTACAGTTAAAGTCTGAAAAAGCCCTGTCACAGGTTGAGGCTGGGCCGGCCTCTAGCGAATGACAGACACTCTCTATTAACCCCTCTCTCCTCCCAAAAGGGAAAAGGAGAGAGAGCAAGGGAGAGAGACTTTACTGTTTGGAAAAGGAAACTAAAAGAGCTTTAATGAAACAGTAACAATAAAAGAAAAGATAAGAATAAGGAAATAATGAAATATATACAATATGTACAAATATATACAAATAGATACAAAACCAATACCGAACCCAACTCCCCCCACCCTGATGACGATACGTCAACACCACGCTGCAGGGCTGGCACTGGGGCAGTCCCATGCTGGACTGGGCAGCAGACAGGGACAGGATGCAGGAGCTGGACTCAGGCATTGGATTCAGGGATCCACGGATCAGGGTCGATGACAGAAGAACAGGCAGAGTCCTCCTCAGATGTCGGCCATCGAAGAAGAGAGATTGACCCTCGTGATCCCTCAGCTTTATACTGAATATGACGTGTATGGGATGGAACACTCTGTTGGTCAGGTTTGGGTCCCCTGTCCGGTTCGCTCCTCCTTGCAGTGCGACCTTTTACGTGCTTGAGACCCTTTTTACTCCCGCACCCCAACACGGGGTACAAGATTTAGCAGTGACCTTGGTCGCCATAAGAACAAGTATAAGCAAGGGCCTCTCTGCACACCGTTCCTTGGCACGAACTATAAACATCAGGCCTGATCACTGCTGGGAGCTGGCACTGTCTGGAAAAACGTGCTGCTGTTTCGGAAAGTGCCATTAGAGGAGACTTAACTGAAAAGTTAAAGCACTAAAACAAAATTAGTTCTGGTTTAGCCCAAACCAGGACAAGTCCATACAAAAATATTAAGCTAGCTGAGACATTTATGCATAGCCCTGCACAGAGAAATAGTTTTGCATATGCAAAGATGTAAGACTACCTAGATCTCATTGTGTTACTGTGTTTACCACCAGTGACCAGGAAGCAATGTAAGAGGAGAGCAGAGCTGTGTCTTTCAAATTAAGAGCTCAGCATTTCCTCTCCCTCCGTTGGGTAGGCTTCCAACCTACCCCCACTCCTTGCCTGATGTTGAGGTGGCTTCTCACTGCATTTCTGCCTGCTTTAATTATGTGTTTCACCACCCATAGGTCAGAGCTCTCTTTTTGTAAATCTTCCTTGTAAAGCCATTGAAGGAAAACAACAATATCAGCCTGAAGTGAATTGAATGTTTTGGCTCATACATGGAGAAATTATATCTTGTGTTTTATCCTTGTAAGTTTTGCAACAGGAGCACTAGGTTCCAGACTCACTTAAGCTATTTAGGTTTTATATTTTCCTGTTTTATTTTTGCTTCTGATATGAAAACCGCTCCATTACTGCTTTCTTGGATAACATGTGGTGGAGTTCGGGAAAGAAAGTAGCTATGGTTTAACTTTTCCTGTCTTCTGCCAAGTATATGAACATTATTAATCGGGGAAAATTTTCTGTAGATAGGCACTTCATTTTTTTATTCACTGCACAGTGTTTAGCTCCAAAAGTCAGGAATTTTATAAGCTTTTGTTCAAGTAAACATAACTTGTTAGAGACTCTTTGGTGAAGAAAAGCTTTTTTCCGTCTCCCTCTCAAGAAATGATTAGACAAGCTTAAAAAAAAAAAAAGTCAGTCATGGTTTACTGTCTTGTTATCTGCATTTCTAGGCTATTTTCTCTTTCTTGGGACAGTAGAGCATTTTTTCTGTGTGCATTAGTTAAAAAAAAAAAAAAAAAACCGAAACACAACACTCAAGCTGTTCAGTAGAGTTAGTATCTTTTATAAGCAATGCAGGGGCTGCAGTCCATGTGCAGAGCGCTTGTTCATGTGGCTGAACTAGGTTTGAGATTAACAGTCTGAGCTTTGTATAAAAGATTGGGGCACTGCTTTCTGTCAGAGGGGAGCATTTATCAGTGTATGCTTTTATGAATAGGTCATCGTTGTGCAGCAAGAGTGTGATGCACTTCAAAACTCTATTCAGGCACAGTGAGGCTGCTCACCACATCAAACACCGCTGGGGTAGCACCCCTGTACAAGTGAGAGGTTATCCAGAATCTGAGATCCACCAGAAATTTCATCACTTCCTAGACCTTGCTTCTGTTAATAAAATCACGTGGTGCTATATTAAATATGGTTTTAAAAATCCTCCTGTACTCCCTCAAAAAGCAGGAAGGAGAGGTACAGAAAAAACAGCAGATGCTAGTTATATTATTCAGCTGTACTTCTGGGAGGTACAGCTTCTGAGGCAATAAGGGCTGTAGAAAATCATAGAGAGGAGAATTTTTGAGGAATTAGGACTGCATGCAGCAGTATGTTATCGTTTTTGCTTGGAGAAGAGTGCAGAGAGAAGAGGGAAGACAGTCCAACCAGGAGCACATGGATATAGAGGGGGCTAGTACATCTTGGGGAGCTGTGACACAAACCAGCAAGGGAGCTCTTTTTGTGTAGAGTCAGATGATCCAGGATAATTGGACACTGGTCTGCTGGGCATTGATGGCATGTGATGCTCGTAAATAAGGACAAACTTGCAAGTCAGGCACAGCTCAAGCTTTTCACAGTGTCTGGTGGGAATTTCAGAACAGGAGCTCTTTAATGAACTCAAGGAAAATTGTGAACACCAAAGAAACTCATCAATTAGAAAAGTTTAGGCAGTCCACCACACAAGTAATTAGCCACAACAGAAACATCATTCAGTTTACGCTCTGGTTCTCCCTGTCATGAGATCGTCTTTATTTGAACCTTAAATTGAGCCCAAATTCTTTGTTATTTTATGAACAAAATCTTTTAAAAAGGCAGATTGTACCCTGTCAAGTTCATCTTGAATGTGCATTCCTTGAACAGCAGCTGATAGTACATTCTGCAACGATAACAGTACCTACTCCATGCTGAGATTTGGTTTTATGTCTGTCTCGGGTAAGGAAGATTGAATAGTTGTATATAGCTGTTAAAATGCTTTTTCCTACCCCTATGTGTGTTCAGTCTGTGGATACATTCCACAACAGAGAGAAAAATCTCAGTCTACTGTTGAGACACTTTTTGGTATCAAGCTGCAGCCACCATGCTCAATTGTGTCTGTGTGTTTAGGATTTGGTGTCTTTGACTTTTGTTTTGGAATTTACATTAAGGGATTTTTCTTTCTTAGGATATTTTGTTTCATTTTTTATCATGTCAGTAACAATACCTTAGTATGCACTGCCTTACTGATGGATCATATAATCATTGCGCTACTAAATAGTTTTAAAAATCATGGCATTCTGCTCACTAGTTGTCAAAGCCCAGCAACCTTTCTCCTGAGATGATGTGTTGCCTCTTCAGACCAATAAGATATTTTGCAGAAAAGACACCTTTCAGTAGCAAATTCGGTTGAAATCAATAAATTTTCAAAGCCTTCTGATTTTTATGAAGAGGGGAATTTCTGCCAACTCTTTTTTTTTGTGAACAAAATGCTGCCATTGTTGCAGCTCTGTCTTTTCAGTGCCAGCACCACTGCTAATGTTGCGTTCTTTGCCCAGCTTTTGCTTCCCCTGACTGCATGCCCTGTAGTTTTCGTTTTTCCTGCTTGGAGAAGCAGCCCTGCCTTCTGTCTTCTAGGCCTTTTAAGTTTGTCAATCAAACTGTCTTGTCATAGCTCACTGTAGTGTTTGAATTTTTGAGTCTTTTGTTCAAAGGGTCAAAAGTTTTAGATGGTGATAAGTGTTTTAGGGTGTGCAGAGAAGCATCTATGACAGTGAAGAGTTTTCTGGTCTTCATATCTATTCATCACTTCCTGTAATTCTAGGGAATAGGACCAGATGATTTAAGAGATGCTTTCTGCTTTTATTTTCCTATTTCCTGTTAGCCTCCTTTCTGTTTAAAAAAAAAATAAAATAAAAAAAATAAATAAAAAAACAACCCAAAAACATACTGAAGATCAAGGCATGAATAACGGAGAAAAAAAAAAAAAAACCTAGAAAATATAAAATGTGCTCTAACAACAGCTGGGAATTCAGCCCTTTGCTGTGAATTCTGATTTTGTTTTCTGCTACATCACACTTTGCCAGTTACTAGCTTTGTCATGGTGTAATTTCCCAGAAATAATTCCTGTTGCACTTTGATCTGCCACTCCTGCAGCCTGTGTGGTATGGCAGTGCCGCTGAACTTTATTTGACTTCATGTAGTTCCATTGCTTTGTGTACAGTGTTGGGGGACTGATTAAGGAGCTGAATAATAAAATCAGTGGCAATATTACATGCTAATCAGTATAGTGTTGTATAAAGACAGTCTACAAGGACACATAAGGAAGTTTTGTAAAAATAAATATTTAACTCATGACTGAAAAAGACCCTTAACTAATACACTATACATGATATAATTTATTTGGAAACAAGCATTTCAGCAACTCTTCTTGTAGTCTTTCCTGGTAGGTTCTGTTTCACTCTGCTTCGTATGAATCCTGTTTGATCACAGTAAAAAATATTTCTGTAGTTAGCAGGATGCTAGCCAGATACTCTCTTGATTTCTTCACTTCAGAAAGATGCACATGCTTTGTCCCAGAGCAGTATTGTGTAACTCTCTACTGTAATGGTTTATGCTAATTTTCAAAGGCAAGTAGGACTTGCTGGTTTCTAATATAGATTAAGGCTAGTATTAAGCTTAAGTAAGGCTCAGGATACAAGAAGTAATAAAGTTATTTCCTAAGACGTTTTAAGATTGGCAATTAAAAAAAAGTTGAGGCCTAGGCTTGGCAGACATTGGTCAATAACTTTTTCTCAGGAGTGTATTGATGGTAGGTTAGACTAGTTAAGTAAAATAAGGGATGGGGTTTAATAGCTCTGTTCATTTCTGAAAATCATTGTGTCAGTAATCGTCAGTTCTAAGTGTTAAATTCTGTGCATGGAATGACCTTTTTTTGTGCTATAGCATCATCACAGCTTTGAGATTCAGGGACCCTGTGAATCTACAAGGAAGATTCAGCAAAGGGGAGGGTAGAATAATAACTTCCAGTAAAGTATGAGGAGTGCAAGCTAAATGAAACAATAAAATCTGCTTTGGGCACAGTTGGCATAGATTTAGATTTGGGTTTACAATTAGAAGAGTTTGGCTTGTTTGGGTTACATTTTTCTGTTTGTAGTATTCAACAGCTACAAGGTTGGTTTTAGGGCTAGCAAAAGTAGAATACAGTTGTGAATATTAAGTTCCAAAAGTGGATTTGGTATAGTGATAGTTTCTGGGTATAAATAGATGTCTGGGTTGGCATTGACATTGACATTGGTGAAAAAGTTGTTTCAGAGCCAGCTTTACAGCTGAGCAGCATAAAGCCTATGGAGTGAGCGCAAACATGCATGCTGAAAGGGAGAGAACTGCTTTTTCTGAAGTCTGTGGATGAAGTTTGTCTCTAGTTTATGCCAATGGCAGGGGTGAGGATTGGAGTTATGATTGGATTTGAGGACAGCTAGTGCTCAAGGATGCTTCTACTCCTCTTCTCATTCTCACTCTGTTTGTGAATGCAACTATGTGCTTTGGGCTTCATGATAACCTATGGATGCAGAGTGATGCCAGTGCGGTACAGAGATTCACAGTGAGTTTCATGACCAAATGGAGTAGTGCAGGGGGTATTTCCAAGATCCATTAAGCTCATTCTTTGAACAGTAGCTGTCGTCCTGCAGTGATTCTGAAATATATTTGCCTTCTGGGAAACTTAAAAACATACAAAATTTATAAATGTGCACAGTGCGATGTTCAGCTTGACAGTTAATGCTGAAAAGCTGTTCCAGTTTCAGGTATTACATATGCAGTATGTTACCATCCTTTTTAAAACTGTTTTCTGATTCCATGAAAACTGTTAGCCATTTCTCTCTCGCATCAGCCCAGTTAGCATTTTAACTCTGTAATTAACTCTGTAGCACCTAGTATGGGGGGAGACTATAACACCACGTCTTCCTCCTGTCAATGACTATTGACTGGCTCCAGGCCTCTGTGTCACTGCAAGCGTTTGCAGGTTGTATCGTCTATTGGCACACGACTGATGGAGAAGTTCCTCATGAGCTGTGGTTATTTGGTCCTGAGCTATGGTGGTTCTAGTTTCCACCGTGCAGAAAAGGCTATATTCCTCAGAAAATAACAAGAAGATCAGGGGCCTCCTCACACCTAGCATAAGATACACTGTTTTTATGTAGAGAGGTATTTATATGAGCCTGAATTGCAGGTTTAGAGATGCTAAAAGTATACAAAGTCCTGTTCCTGCTGCCAGTGTAATCACTGTTTTTCAACAAAGTAATTGGGAAGGAGGTAGGTATTTTTAAAATATTCCTACATGCAGAAAATAGAATCTGAAGTTACCCCCAACTGAACTGGTAAAACAGAATAGCATTATTTGTGCTCTTAAGTTTGTGTTTGAGATGAAACAAACTTAAAAAAATGCAGTTAGCAGTGTTTTCTTTGAGAAAGCTGAAAAGGACTTAAACTCTTCTTGTGCACCTAAAACTACATATTTTTATCAAAGCCATTTTATTCAAACTAGTTATAAAATTACAATAGTAAGATCAGATAATCCCTGGAATATATGATATATAGCAATTGCTTTGAAACAGAATAACTTCATAAAATGTGTTTTTATAGTGCAAGGTACTTGCATTAGCTACCTATAAAACTTCAGAGGATGACAATTTTGCTTTTAGCAACCTCTTGACCAACTGAAAAAGATGTGAGGTTTTTTCATGAAATTCCATGTTCTGCACTGGGGTCCCATTGCTTATCCTTCTACTGTCCCATAAATGCATTAATTACTGCAGTAGACTATCCTGTATGGAAAAAAAAAGTCATACTGCTGCTGGATCAAATACAGTCCCTGCTTTCTAAAAATCTGTTTCATATTTTCATATGCCTTGAGATCATCTTCTTATGGTCATATTGTGCCTTGCCCTTATTTCACTGCATGTTAAACTGTGTAAAGAATTGTCCTTCTCTTCCAGACCTACACAGCCCTATACTGTCAGGTGATTTCACTGTCTCAGAGACTTCTGCTGAAAAATAGGTGTTCTTAAGCAGTATTCCCAGTGGGTGAATTAACCAGTTTTGTGAAGGCTTTCAGATAAAAATTAAAGGGTTCTTGAGGAGCAGATATTGGAGGGGAAACCTTATAGCAGAAGAATTATTGAATCAGAGAAAGTGAATCACTTTGTACTGTAGGCACAAATTACCTTGACTTCCTTGTTCAGGATTACATACTTCATGCAGCACATTTATCACCTATAGTATTTTCTTTCTGACTCAGTGTTGTCAAGGTGTGTTAGTGTTCAAGCTCAGACATAAACATTCGTCTGTTGCTGAGCAGACCCTCTAGGAAATGCTTTGTATCAGTTAAAAGAAAAACTTAAAAGGGATCAGTTAACAATTAACTGACAAGACAATAATTTTTTTGGCTCTCAATCCCCAACATATATATTTCTAAATTTGTATGCATCTATATATCTTAAAATCTTTGCTGTATTTATCCTGACAATATGACATGATATCACATAAAGAACAGTTCACTTATTTGAGGCAGCCTGATCGCCAGAGGCTTCTCCACTGATGTTCCCTCTGCTGAATCCAGTAACATCCAAGTAAAGCTTATGAACAGCTCTGGAGCAGACTCCTGAGTGCCTTATGTGCTGCATCTGGTAAAAGCCTCTTTATCTGTTACTTACGATGTGCTATGTAATAATGCTGCTGGGCCTTTCCAGTATCACTAAAGACCTAATGAAGTTCCTATTACTTTAGGTTGTTGGTTAGTTCACCCTGGAGTGGCTATCCCGCTAACAGAACTGGAGATATCTATGCGTGTCCTGTTGGTACATCCAAAACAGCATGTAAAAAATTGAATTTACAAGGTAAGTTGTCGTGAATAATGTCTTGCTATAATTGTTCAGTTTTTCCTTGATTTTATGCCAAGCCAATCTATCTTGTTAAATATTATTAAAACGTTTCTTAACTTTCTGCATAGTCTCAGTCTGTCGCGTGTGTGTATATGTGAGTGTGCTGCAAGGACTCAGTGCCAGCTGCTGGTGAGACCCATGTGTGTGAGTGAAAGTTGGTGCCTGCAGCTGGGGTCAGCTGGGGGTGTGGGCACCTCAGCCTGTGGTGCCAGCTGCTGGAGCCACTGGGGTCTCAGCTGTTGGCTGCCAGAGCAATCGAGGTCTTTAAACTCTGGCCATGGGGTGGGAATGCTGTGTCTCCCAAACCCAGCTGCTGGGGGGGAGCAGGGCTCCATGTCTGTGAGGGGCTGCACACTGGCGGCTGGAGCGGGACTGCGGGGCACAGCCCAGGTGGCCTGGTACGGGCTGCTGCAGGGGTGAGTGTCTGTATCTCCCCCAAACCAGGTGTGCGAGAGTGTGTGTTTTCACTAGCAAAATTTCAGTGGGACTGTCCAGCTTAGGGGAGTCTCAGGTCCAGAGCGGGTGGGGGGGTCTGTGCTGCTATGCCCAGGGGGACTCACAAATGTGGAGTTCAGGAAGGGCAAATGAGTGAATGGATATGAAGCCTTTATTGCCTCTGTGTTTTGCAAACTAAGTACAAAATGGAATTCACTTTTGGGTACAGTGAAAACATAGGGCAGCAGAGTGTGCTGAAATGCCTACTTTATGTTTATTTGTGGTGTGGAACATTTCTGTCCTCCACTGCTCCTTTCAGGTTTTTGTCTAAAGCCTGATACTGGATCAGAGGAGTCTGGTGTCCTGAGGAATGCAGCAGTAACTGCTCAGCTGAAGCTACTCATCCAGCCAAAAATACTCAATACAGACCGTTTCTTCCTCTCTTTTGCCTTCAGCTCTCTTGAGGGCAAGTACTCTAAATGGTCATACTTAATTCCTGTCTGTAGTTAAAGGTTAGCAAATTTTTGACAGGTTAGCTTTTGGTTCGTCTCAGGATTGTATGCAGCCATTTGGAAAAGGCATCATAGATTCTGAGAAATCAAGCTTTTGAAAAGGAGTTCTAACTTACTAAATTACATCTAAATCTTACTATTTTGCCGTTACTTAATCTTTTTTTATTTCAGCTTTAATAAATATTCCAAATGTGACTGAGATAAAGGAAGACATGAACCTTGGCTTGACTCTGACACAGAACTCAAAAACAGGAGGATTTTTGGTACGTATCAAGGACTTATTCAGTACACACAGAAATTCCTGAGGAGGATGAAGAAACTAGAATTCTCCACATTTTTAATAAGCCCAAGCTGAATGTATTTTATTATGCAGCATAGTTTAATACATATTTTGTATATTTCAAAATATTCCATCCCACTTTCATTACCTAGGGTCAAAAAATCAGGAAAATTACCAATTCTCTCCTTCATAATTTATCTAAATACCCTATGGAAAGGCACATAATTAAAGACTCTGTAACTTAAGTCAGACCACACGGGCAAGAATATTTCCACCATGGACATCTTTAAGTCTGTCTTGTATAATTCTGATTATGCTTTTAAAAGACAATATGGGATCTCTCTTCCCCAACACGCACTTGCACATAGTGAGTGTTCTCCTGAGATGTTAGGATTTCTAGTCCCATGGATCTGAGATAAATTTTATTTGTTAGTGAGCTGGTAGAGGATGCATTTTCTATGGGTATATTCTGCAAACCACTGTCCTTGGGGCCTGTAAAACATTTCATAATTGAAAGGAAGTTAACGCCTGTTTAATACAATCTTAACTGTAAGCATGTAGACTGTTGCAGTGTAGGTGTGTTCCGGTTTGATGCATGCATTGTCAGCATGTGCAGTAACTAAGTGAAATAAACTACAGACAAATGAGCTTTAAGGCTTACTTTAAGCTTTGTATTTTTTTGCTCCATATTCCTAGTACTTGCAAAATTATTCAAATGTTTATTATCTTCATTACCACATAGCCCAGTTCAGTGAAGTATTTAAAAGTAAGTCTAATTCCAACCTTTCCAGCAGCTGTCTTGGAGTTAGTAAAGCTAATCATAACTTCAAAATACAGCATCAGCCTTCTTCTTGATCATTGGTTTGAGAAGATTTTGATTAAAAAGAATCATATTCTGTCTCCTGGATAATACCTTTAATTACTGTTAATACTGTCCCATGCGTAACCACTTTTAATCAGTATCGATAATTTCAATGATTTAAAACATCTCATGCAGGAAAACTTGTATTTTGTAATAATACTTGAACATTTCTCAGTTAAAAAGGATTTTCTGATCAGTACATTCTTGATTGATGCTCCTTAAACTGCATAAAGTAACAAAAAATAAAGTTGAATGCTGAGACATGAACAGTTAGCTATGTCTTTGGTGACAGGAGTTCTTTTTGACATGAGGAGAATGACATACTGGAGACAGGTGCTTATCTGTGACTCAGCCTCGACAAATATCAAAATCCCCATGACTTCGTGGTGGCAAGAACTGGACAACAAGTGGAGACTCTCTGCTCGTAATTGCAAGCTGCTGCCAGCCAAGACTTCGCTCCAAGACTGTCTCTGGCAGCTGGTCTTTGTGATGGGGTCTTTGGATTATACTAAGGGCTTCCTCCTCCCAGCTTAGAATGCTGCTTCCTCCTGCAGCTGCTTCACTCTCAGTCTCCATCTGCTTGCACTGGTCTGTGCTGCATCCCTGGGCTGCTTGGCTGGAGCGTGACCCAGCCTGGTGTGCCTGTGCTGTAGCTTGCCAGTCATAGAATCTATTTAGGTTGGAAAAGACCTTTAAGATCATTAAGTCCAACCATTAACCTAAGACTGCCAAGTCCACCACTAAACCATGTCACTAAACGCCTCATCTGCATCTCTTTCAAATACCTCCAGGGATGGTGACTCTACCACTTCCTTGTTCCAATGCTTGACAACCCTTTCGGTGAAGAAATTTTTCCTAATTTCCAATCTAAACTTCCCCTGGTGCAACCTGGGGTCATTTCCTCTCATCCTATCACTTGCTACTTGGGAGAAGAGACCAGCACCCACCTGGCTACAACCTCCTTCCAGGTAGTTGTAGAGAGCGATAAGGTCTCCCTTCAGCCTCCTCTTCTCCAGACTAAATAGCCCCAGTTCCCTCAGATGCTCCTCATAAAACTTGTGCCTTAGAACCTTCACCAGCTTCATTGCTCTTCTTTAGACACCCTTCAGTACTAGTTTTTTACCCAGCGAAGAGTACACCTGCCCAAGCTATAAGCAAACCGTTTCTCCAGGAGAATGCTGTGGGAAATGGTGTCAAAAGTTTTACTGAAGTCCAAGTAGATGACATCCACATCCTTTCCCTCATCCACCAAGCTGGTCACTTTGTCATAGAAGGAGATGAGGTTAGTCAAGCAGGACCTGCCTTTCATAAGCCCATACTGCCTGGGCCTGATCATCTCTCCTGTAAGGACTACATGATGGCACTCAAGATGATCTTCTCCATAATCTTCCCTGTCACCGAGGTCAGACTGACAGGCCCATAATTTCCAGATCCTACTTCTGGTCCTTCCCATAGATGGGTGTCACATTTGCTAACCTCCGGTCAACTGAGACCTCCCTGGTTAGCCAGGACTGCTGGTAAATGATGGAAGGCGTCTTGGTGAGCACTTCTGCCACCTCCCTCACTACCCTTGGGTGGATCCCATCTGGCCCCATAGACTTGTGTGTGTCTAGGTGGTGTAGCAGGTCGCTGACCATTTCCCCTTTGATTATGGGGGCTTCATTCTGCTCCCTGTCCGCTTCTTCCAGCTCAGAGGTCTGGGCACATTTAGAAAAACTGATCTTACTATTAAAGACTGAGGCAAAGAAGTCCTACTGGTTCAGTTGTTTGATGCCATGTGACTGCTTCCCACAGGTATCCAAAGTACAGGGCAATCATTTCCACATGCTCATTACGTTTTTCTGAGCCATGCTTAGTCCTGTTGGACAGATGCTTAAAAATTGCACTGATGGTTAAGAACTTTTTTCCGGTTTTCTTATCTAAGCTTCCGTCAATTTATTCTTGGGGTAGTGCTGTGCCCGTATGCCTAAGTGTAAAATCTCCCTTCTGTATTTAACACCCTGCGATCATTCTCCTTTTTCCTTTGCTTTGCTAAACAGTTTTTTGGCTCAAATGTGCTTTTTAAAATACAGGTCTCTGAAACATGAATGACCAGATCTATGCTGTATTCCATGTGTTTCCAGAGTATTTCCCTGTCTCAACTGCAAGTGCTTCTTGTCATTTATCTTTCGGCCATATTTGTTTTGCATGCTGGTTGCATGCTTATGGTCACCCTGCAACCAGCCAGTGCCTGATCCATCTGCTACTTGCTCTTCCACTCAATGAGCTCCCAGTTTATGTCCATATTTTGTAACATCAGTCCTTAAGGGCAAGTCTATGCCCCTTTCTAATATTCCACTTTTGAACTTTATCAGTTCTTTATATATGATCTCCCAGTTTTCCCTTGCATTAACTGATGTATCTTAAATTTCTGACTGTAGCAATGCTAGAACATTAGAGCATTTTTTTTTTGAAGATCAGCAAAGTTTATTAGAACTTTTCTATTTTTTGCTCCAAGATTAACATCACAAAGTTGAGTTACCACTAATGCAGAAGAAAACTAGAAAATGGGCAAATGAGATTTAAAGTTTTTTTTATTTAAAGTTCTTTTTAGATCAATTAAAGACTAGTAACTCTCCTCCAGCTTCATATTTACTGATGTAGAAGATTTATTTTATACCACTTACCGCTGTAAATATCTCTTTTCTAGTAAAAATAATCATGCCCCATGTAGCAGCTAAAAAGACACTTACCTCAAGATCAGATAACACACATATACTTCCTTTTTCTTGTCAAGAAAGTCTCCCATCTTGTCAAGACATCAGGATGGTTTGATGTGATCTACTGCTTGTAAACCAGTGTGTGGTTTAGCTCATTTTCTATTTATTTTTGCCTTTAATTACCCTTTTTTCAATATTTTTGAGAAAAGGATAATAGTGCTATTCACTCTCGTCTCCTCTTCCTAAATAGAGATGGTCAATTTTCTGTTTTCCAGGCTCTCCCAACTGGGCAGGACAATCAGAAAGTATATGTAATAAAGCTATCATTTCTTTCAGAACTGTTAGACAGAGGTTATGCAGAGGTTATGTTTTCTCCTTGAGTTCCTAACATGATTCTCTCTTAAAAAATCCTCCCCCCCCAAATAGCCTCATGGCAAGAGGTTATGTTTTTCCCTTGAGTTCCTAACATGATTTTCTTTCAAAAAATCCTCCCCCTGCAAATATCATCTTGACAAAATACTGTCTTAGTGTCTGTGGGGTTTTTTTTATCTAGGTACTCTTGTACCTATCCTTCCAATATCAGAGGTGTGGCTGTCATGCAAACATCTGGTTGATCCAACAGAAAACGTTTCTTTTTACAGAAATCACTTCCAGCAAAGAAGTGATATTATCTTCCCTGGAAGGCAACAAAACAGATAGACGAGGGGTATGTGAGGCCAGGGCCAAACTTCTGCTTCTAGCTGCAGCCAAATAGGACAATGCATACTGAGATGCTGCACCCTCAGCGGAGATGATGATGAACAGGGCTTCTCAAATTAATAAATATGTGTGTGTGCGCGTGCCCACTGATAACAAAACTCTGCGGTCTGGTCACACCGTTGGTCGTAATCTGCTGTACCGCAAGAAAAGCGAAAAGCTCCCTTCTGCGTCTTTGCAGCGACCTGCATGCGCTTGGCTCTGATGCCACCTCCTGGTTAGTGGAAGTACTTCTCTGCACGGTTATAAGCGATGTGCAAATACCTACCCTAGTTTTAAAGCAATAGTTTGTAGAGCAGGTGGCTTAAAGCCCCACAATATCCTTGCATACCAAGTCACACTCCCTAGATGTTATAGCTGCGCATAGGCTGAAGGGGTCATCTTGCAGAAGGAGGAACTAGAAGGATCATGAATAGAAAATCCTTTCAATGAGATAGTCTATGAAAGTGATTACACTGTCGCTGTGATTGCAAGGGATTGGCCAGATAACCCAAGAAGGCTCCTCTGATCCTATATGCTTGCAGTCCTGCTTATTGTGCTTTTGTGGATGGATATGGTGAGACAAGTATTCATTACTTTTAGAGTTGTTTTGTTGTTATTTTTAAGACTTGCGGTCCTTTGTGGGCACAGCAGTGCGGAAGCCAATACTATGCAACTGGAGTCTGTTCTGAAATCAGTCCAAGTTTCCAGATCCTAAGAAGCTTTTCTCCTGCTGTTCAAAGTAAGGCAACATGTGCAAAAGAGATTCAATTAAAAAAAAGAAACACATCAAATGAAATAAAGATAAATTGTGTCAGGGGATTTTTAAAAAAAAATGTATGTGCATGAAGCAAAGTCCTGTGATTCAGACATAAGGACTGACAAATCATGATCCAATACTGGTATGAATATGGACTCAGTCCTATGAATTCGGAGGTATTGCACCAGTACTGGTTCATCATCTGCATATGCTTGTATTGAGTCCTCATTCTGGCAAAACCTTCCCGATCTGAAGTGTTGCCTGAGTGAGACCTAAATGTGCACCTCTGAATTTAAACAGAGTTGTATCAAGATTGAAAGTGCATTTAATAATCACTATTTATTTTTGTTTTAGAGTGTTCCTCTGTCATAGATGTTGTGGTAGTTTGTGATGAGTCAAACAGCATTTATCCCTGGGATGCAGTGCGGGCATTTTTGAAAAAATTTGTGCAAGGCTTAGACATAGGCCTTAACAAAACCCAGGTAAGTCAAAGGTGTCTTTGACAAAGACCTAAAAAATAAAAGCAATGGTTTTTATTAGCAATTTTAAAGCAAGCTAGGTGTGCCTTACTGTAAATACAGTACCTCCCGCAAAGCCACAGATTACGCAGTTGTCCTGTATCTTTCAGTACTGTTTGGGTGGGGTTTTTTTTGAATCTCACAGTGAACCTATTTCAAAAGGGATTAAAAATTTGATTCAAAACATAAACCAACTGAAATAGAAGTCTAAGTTGTATCTAGAGGAAACATCTCTTTCATGCATTAGGTGTAAAAGTAATTAAAATATAGCCTATGGGGATGTGGTAAAAGTAGAATAGATTTTTTTTTTTTTAGGGGCTTTTCATACAACTCTTACTTTCCAACTCCTGCATCATTAAAATAGGATTTCTTTTTCCTGCTTGGTTGCTATCTGATCTTTGATTTCTTTTTTGCTTTTAGTTTGATGATGGTAAGGAAAACTTTATTGCCTTTTTTTTAAAACATTTTCTGTCTTTACAGTTGTCCATTTTCCATAAACAGTTCTGGGAACAAAGACTGGGGCACTGGAAATCTCTCTCCCAAAGGCTGCCTTCTTCCTTGGGCTACTTTGGAAGTGAGGTGCTTAAAAGCTAGGCTTCCTGCTCAGTCCTTTATGAACCTCACCTTTAGCGTCTTCTCTTTTTTCTTTAATACTAAATGTACATCTTAGTAATACTGTCTTTAGCTTTACCTGTATTAAAAATAAATAGGGTTTGCAGTGCTATCAAGTAACTAACCTTTAGGCGTTCCATAAGTGAGATCAGATTGAGGTATTGTCAGCTTCTAGATTTTTTGCTATTTTCTCATTTTTTCCCAGAGCTACCTGTATTATTGCTATCCCTCAGCTCTTCCAGAAGTAACCAAGCAAACATTTTAATGCCTATTATGTCAGATTGTTTGCATTAACATACTGTAGTCCATAATAAATGACATAAGTTGCAAGAACATTTTAGCTTTCTTTGCTTTCCAAATGTGTTAATATTAATTGGGTTTATATGTGTTGAAAGAAAACTATAACCTCATGTGCCTCTGCAGATCTTTTACTCCAACTTGATAAATAAGTAAATGTCATGGCTCTCTGTAATTGATTGTAATGCATGGCTATATAACATAATCTCTTTATTGCATAGGTGGGTTTAATTCAGTATGCTAATGATCCCCGTGTAGTGTTCAACTTGAATACATACCAAACAAAGGATGAGGTTGTTAAAGCAATGGAGGGAACGTATCAGAAGGGAGGAGATCTCACTAATACTTTCAAAGCCATTGACAATGCAAGGTAAAACACATTGATGATTACTATGCAACTATTGTAATGTACTTTACAACAAGCACATCCTGAATTTCATTCCCATGGGGACTGCATGTGCCTGGAGCCTCTGAGGAGGTTCCCAGTGCCAAGCAGAATCCTTCAGGTACACTTACAATGTGCCATGCAGAATAGCACAGGCATGTGTAAACTAGACTTGCTGAAAAGCATGTCTTTAACCATTGGGTTAAACTCTACACTAAAGTATATCTGGTACCCAACAGAACTGTTTGGGCTGTCACAGGTGTCTAAACACAACAGTACATTGAACACCACGGACAACCACTTAAGAAAGATACAAAACCATTGAAAGAAGTAAAGCTTATCCAGGGATTCAATGGGACCAGTAACATTAGTGTTTGCAGATCAGGCTTTGGTTGATTGCAGAAAAAAATAAAATCTCTTGTCTGTTGTCAGTTTGTCACTGCAGCACCAGCAGTATGAAAAATGGCAAAAACTTAAAACAATGTGCTATGACTCTGAATGCATCTACAAACTAGGTCTATTTCTCAATAGGAAGACGAGATTTTGCAGTTGAATCAAGGACAAGACTCTAGTCCAAAATACGTGCCGAATCAAATGGCCTTCAAAATTTTGTTTAGGAACAGACTCAGCCTTCAATGGAGTTGGTATTTGCAGTAGTTCTGAGAAACTATTATTAATACTCTTCCGCTTTTGTTTGAACTTAATGGAGCCAATTCCTGGCTACTTTGGTGTTATAAAACATTAATAGTTCTGACAAAAAAAAACCCACTTTTTATTTAGAAACATTTGTAGAAAAAAAAAATTGTTTTCCCTGGAACATACATTTTTATCAGAAATACTATCAAGTCCTACTTGGGTGGGTTTTTTTTTTCCTACTTCCTTGATTACATTTCTAATAGCTTCTTCTCAAAGCACTGCTTAAAGACCTATCAGCAGCATAACTGAAAATTCTTATTGCAGATTGCTAGCTAACATATAAAAAAGCACTACAGATGCACCTTGTTCCACGTCAGTGATGGACATATTCATTACAGTATATATACCAAATTCCATCCATTATAAATTGACATGTGATAAATCTAATATTTTATAACAGACAGTATGCCTTCTCACCTGAATCGGGAGGACGTCCGACAGCCACAAAAGTAATGGTTGTTGTGACAGATGGTGAATCACACGATGGCTCAAACTTGAAAACAGTGATAGGTAAATGCAATGAAGACAATATAACCAGATTCGGCATTGCTGTAAGTAATACTATAATTATATATATTATTCCCTCAGTTCAAGAAAGACAGGAAACTGCTTGAGAGAGTCCAGCACAGAGCCACAAAGACAGTTAAGGGGATGGAACATCTCCCTCATGATGAAAGGCTGAGGGAGCTGGGGCTCTTTAGCTTGGAGAAGAGGAGACTCGGGTGACCTCATTAATGTTTATAGGGCAAGTGTCAGGAGGATGGAGCCGGGCTCTTCTCAGTGATGGCCAACGACAGGACAAGGGGCAGTGGGTGCAAGCTGGAGCACAGGAGGTTCCACATTAACATAAGGAAAAACTTTTTCACTGTGAGGGCGATAGAGCACTGGAACAGGCTGCCCAGAGAGGTCGTGCAGTCTTCTTCTCTGGAGACATTCAAAACCCACCTGGAGGCATTTTGTGTGACCTACTCTGGGTGGTCCTGCTCTGGCAGAGGGGTTGGACTAGACGATCTTCCGAGGTCTCTTCCAACCCCTAACATTCTGTGATGCTGTGATTTCAATTTTTGAAGGATCATTTGGTTGTGTATGTATAAAAGTGTATGTTCCATACATAAGCTGTATATAATGTGTACATTGTTATACTGGTGAGACCAAAACTAGGTGAAATTAATCTTTATGAACTAGTGAAATATTAGTGATCTTTAACTGGCTGAAAAAGCAAAACCAATGTTGCCTGAGCAACTTCAGTGGGTTTCTCATTTGCCTTGGTTTATACATTTTTCCTGTCTGAATGCTTCCTTGTATATGAATACAATCTGGTAAGCAATTTAGTAATATGAATGAAATATGAATGAAGGTTAACTTTTAAATTTTTTTAATATGTAGGCAATTTTCTGAAATAAAATGGAAGGAAATGGAGTAACACCGTTATTTCCTTGCTGCTTCTTCTTTTGTTCTTTTCTACCCAAGGTTTTGGGATACCTAATTAGACATGAACTTGATACTAAAAACTTAATTAAAGAAATCAAAGGAATCGCTAGTCATCCAACAGACAAGTATTTCTTTAATGTGTCATCTGAGGCTGCGCTACTGGAAGAAGCAGGAACACTTGGAGAGCGCATATTTAGTATAGAAGGTAAAATACGTGGTGTCTCTGAAAAACTAGATCAGATTCTCCCAGCTGATGAGCTGAAGATTTTATTGAGCTTCACCTTAGTGTAGTGCTGTGAAAATGAGGGGCAATTGGAGCTGTGGGCTGCTCCCCAGGAGGGCTCTTGTTTGCACAGGTGTTCCCCAGCTATCCACCTCTAATGAGCCTGAGCTTCAAGTTAGTTGCAGTTTGTGGGAAATATTCCCCAGTTGCTGAAAATTTCAGTCAAGTCATGGGTTTCAGGCACCCACTTGGGTTTGTCCGTATGCATCCAAATGTATTTGGGGCTATTACCAGTGGAGGAGTAAAGGTACCTTTATGTTTGTCAGATTCACCTGTGTGAATGCTAAGCAAGTGTAAATTTAAAAAGCAAATCAGAAGACTAGATCAGAACTGAAAGCAAACTATGTGATGCCTGACAGGCTCCTTCCCAAAAGCCAGTCTTTCAGTCAAATTTAGACCTTGCTTGGGAGACTTGTGACCTGCCCTCAGCCCTCTCTAAGAAGCTTTTCATGGCTGCAACCTTCCTGTCCTCAGGATGAAATCTTCCCTTCTCTTTCACCTCTGTCTATTCTTTACCAGGTGCATGCTGCTAATTAAGTCAAGGTGACTGGTTGAGCTCCCCCTCGGGTTTTGCTGAATACTCCTGTTGAATTCCCCTTACTCCAGTCCCATCCATCTAGCTTAGGAAATACCCCTGGATGTCACAGTAGTTTTTTAAGCCAACTACAACAGTTTTTATAAGTCCTATATGACAATGAACGTTCATATTCTATTTGAACATGGTGAATATACAGTTATTACAGCTCCTAATTTCAGTGTATTATTAGTGCTTCCTAGGAAACAGAGAGAGATTAGCCACAGTGACAAAACTGTGCAGACTAATTCAAGGCTCCTTTATCATCTTCTTCTGCCTTTTTTTTGGAAGAGAATTATAGCATCATGGCTCCATCTTATGAATTTGCCATTAAATTTTACAAATATTCTACAGTTTATCAGCTCTTGGATTTCTGTTGTTTGTAGATGTTGGAAATGCTTTAGCAGAATTGGTGGATTTGGAAAAAGTAACATACAGTCCCTATATAGCTACACTCAGAGGCAGCAAGATTGGATCTCTTGTGTGGTACTGAAGGGTTAACCGTATATGAATATTCGTTTTACCAGGTACAGATCAAGGTGATACATTCCAAATGGAAATGTCACAGGTGGGCTTCAGTGCTTATTACTCACAAAAAAAGGTATGTGAATTTAATTATTTAATGGTACAAATACATGTAATTACATAGGCATGAATGCTGAGAAGTGCAACAAAATAAGACTAATAAAACCAATTTTAAGATTTTTTTTTACAAGTAGGAGAATGTCAAATTATCCTCTTTTTTTTTTTTACTTCTAATTACTTCCAATAGATGGTGTATATATCTAACACGAAAAAATATACATTAATAAGTGAAGCTGAGTGACAGTTTTTCCTGTAATGATTCTGAGATGTGTTAATCCAATGATTTCAGTGATTTCTGAGTTCACATAGCATGAAAAATTCAATTGCTCCAAGTTAATATTTTGCAGTTGAATAACTGAGAAGAAACCATATTGCAAAGCCGATATATTTCTAGGCAGACACCAAGATATAAATAAATCAAGCCTGAAAAGAATACATTTAATATTTATAAGGTTAATAATACTTGTTCAAAGCATATTTCACTTAATTAGAAAGAATAATAAATCAGATATATTTTTCATGCTAATCAATTTTAAGTTTATCTTGACCAAATAGGTCCTCTTTGTAAAATTCCACTGTGGTCAAGCAGCTTTCAACTGAAAATACAGGAAGGCTCTTTCTCATAGCCCTTAAAGACGAATGAAATAATTTATAAAGTCCTCTGTATTTGCAAAAATGAAGTTTTAATTACCAAGCACCTGATGCAAGGAAATGGCAAAAATGAGAAAGATGTGGGGTTTCTCCAGGAAAATGACACATCCTATTTTATTGGAGTTTTCTATAACAGGATCTCAGTTTGGTAAAGAATTTTAATAATGTGAATAATCTAAAAGATATTTGTTTTCTGGATGCAAGTCTAAGATTAATTTTTTCTGTATTAAATATTCTGTATAATGAACTATATTAATGTGGAGTTTAGATTTAACTTTCTTTCAAGGACATGACCTTACTTTAACAATGAAATTTTTTATCTTTTTTTCATCAGCTTTTTTGTGCTGTTGTTGGCACTTTTGTTGTCAAAAAGGGGGCTCTGGCTTTTTCTTACCGTTTTATTTGTGTGATCCTCAATCTTCTGAGGATCTGAGTACATAAAAGCATAGACTTGGCAAGCCAAACCCCAGGTTGGACAGGCTTAGGAAATTATCAGTGTTTAAATAAATCCATTTTATCTCAAGTTGTAGTGCCCTGGGATCTAAAGCAGTCACTTACTCTCTTGCAGTAGAGGGGTGATAATCCCTCTTAATAGGGCAGTAAAGTCCTGCATGTAAGTGGTAACTATAAGCAGCTCCAGCCAATTACGTGCACTGATTAACTGTGATCACTGCTTTAAACACAGTGATGTAAGAAATCACATATGGTAACTTCAGCTTTGCTCACACTTTTTATAAAATAGGTGGTTCTAAAATGTCAATTTTTATTTTTCAAAGGATGTTCTGCTGCTGGGCGCTGTTGGGGCCTATGACTGGACTGGAACAGTAGTTCAGGAGTCTTCTGACAGGGTCACCACCTTTCCAAGCCATGTGTTTGAGAAGATTCTACAGGACAGGAATCATAGCTCTTATCTAGGTAAGGGGCTGAAAAACAAATCTGGACCTGTATTAAACCTTTATTAAGATACTAAAGAACTTGGAAAAGTCTGCTTTAGCTAGACACCTGTTAAGAACTGACCTGAGAATATGAGAAGAATTTTGCATCCAAAAAGATCTTATTTACCTGTCAACAGTTCATTGAATGAAATCTTTATTATGTTTTTAAAAATCTACTCACATCAATGTGGTAAGCTGAAAAAAATAAATAAATTAGGCTTTTTCACAGAGACATAAGAAATCATGGGATTTGAAAAGGCTGCTTAGCATATCATACGGATAATTACAGGTACCTTCCATTTTAATATTTGTATGTACTTCCCCAGTTACATGTCAATGAGAAATTGATTGATGCTGTCATTTCATCTATGCTCACTCTTTTCTTGACCTTTCACAGTTCAGTTTATAGTTTTAGAAATATTGCTGCAGTTTAACAGAGGTCTTATTTACAACCCCTATATACTTTCTGATGCATATTTTTGTTACCCAATAAAACCAGGCAGTTTGTGTTCTCAGTTCATTGAAATTTCTGCAAACCCGCAATACGCCTGCTCTGGCAATTCATCCCTCAATATGCTACTACATTAAGCACCTGTGACTTTCTTATCCCTGAAGTTATTTAATGCAATGTTATCTTTGCAAATAACACGCTCTTTTCCCTGTGGCTTAGCGTTACTTATTTCCAACACAATGAATAAATCTAAACCTAACCTAATGGGCAGCAGCTCTTTTGCTAGTGTGAGCTCTTCAGACTTTATATTCCTCTGTTCTCTACAATAATTCTTAAAAGGTGAGGTCACTTCCTTTCAGAACTTCTCCACAAGGCACTTTTAGAGTATTGGCCATAATCTTTTTGGAGCAAACCATGTTGTTGCCTTTTCTGTCCCTTCACTTGCCTTCCATCTCTTTCTCTCCCCTACTAAGAGCTCTCTGTACCAGCTGTCTCTCACCAGCTTGGGGGACCCCAAGCTAAAGGGCTGCTGGCACGTCACAACTTGCTAGATTGACCCATGTTCTGCACTCCACCCTCTCACTTCAAATGGCTGTATGCTGTATTAATTAGGAATGTATGGCCTTAACTTGCAGAATAAAATCTTGTTTTGTTGTTACTTGTTGAATTTCTAGTCTCCAGTGATGTTGTGACCATAGAAAAACAGTGTCTGAACACAAATTTGAATTAGACTAGTATATGTAATGACCAAGGCATAATCCTTTTAGACTATGTGCCTCACATTGACCTGCATATTCTACCCAATCACTGCAATTTTGTTATTAAGTTTAACAATAGCCTTTATAAAGGATGATTTTTGTTTTCTTCTGTTAAAATAAATTGCTGTAATTAAAGCACAGAAATGTAAAATATGTACTAATGCTAGATTTATAGTGCTAATACATATTTAAAGTATTTGCAGGTATTAAAAGATGTTTCTTGAAAGCAAATAATGTTAGAATAATGGGAATGAGGATAAAAATGTTCAAAGAAATTCAGTCAACTTAAGCCTTTTAGCTGACAAGCTATTAACGTAGCCTGTTATATTCAGCCAAAGCACTGGACTGTGGTTTGGTGAGCTGTGGGAAAATGCACTGCAAGCTTTGCAGAAGCTAGGTGTTCCTCCACAGTTTGAAGGCTGGCCTAAACATTCATCTCATGTTTCTATTTCTTCATTCCAAGGATATTCTTTACACTCTTTTTCCTATCTCCTTCACAAGCATGACATTTTTGTGGTCTCTGTTTTACTGAATAGGCTAAACTCTTGCCCGTGCTGTTCTGCAAACCTGCTTCAACTTGATCTGTGTGTCATTGATCTCTCCAAAAGACTACTCCAAATTTTATGCGTATGTGGCGGCTTAACTTCCCATTTGAAAGCATCATTCTCTGCCACTGACATACCAGATTGACTTGTTCTCTGTGCCTTTATAGATTACCAACTGACGGCTTGTAGTTAATGGTCTCTCACACATGTTAAATATTGCCTTTTCTCCCCAGGTTATTCTGTTGCTGTTCTCTCAACTCAGAGCTTTGTCTATTTTGTTGCTGGTGCACCAAGATCCAACTACACTGGCAGAGTAGTGGTTTACAATGTTGACAGCAATGGTAATATCGCAATTGTGCAGTCCCAGAGAGGCGAGCAGGCAAGTATATTTTGGTCATGAATCCAGATTTTGTTTTTATTGACACAGCAGTAAATTGCAATGCATTTGTTTTGAACGTTTCTTGCAATCCATTTAGATGCCACTTGAACGTTTCTCTATCACTAGACTATTTCAGTGAGGTTGACTGTAACTCTTACATACTATTTTAGGGAGTCATCCGATTAGTGGTGAAAGATAATATAGAAAGCTACTTAATGTATCATTCTGTCAACACTTCTGATTGGCAGAGACACAGTGAGCTCCACTCTGCCTGAGAAGTTGTGAAAGAGCTGGTGCCAAAATCTCTCAAAAGAGATTTGGAAGCTCATTCTCTTTTTGCCCACTTGGAAAAGAGCAATGTGTTTAGATGTTATTGGTTCTGTCTGTTTGTAAGATAAATATGAGTAAATCAGCGATTGGGTAGTTTCACATGCACAGTTTAATATAAACAAATATACCTCCCATAGTTTATTCTGTGTTTCCATTCTTATTGCTGAGTGGCAAAGCCCTAGCAGCAGCTACTGGGCAGAAACAGTGGACACATGGTAAGGATATGATTCTTCAAACATTGGAATTTTATATAATTTCGTTCCAATGGGCAGTTTCATTCATCAGTATCAGACTATTTCTGGGTGTAAGTTTTCCTGAGTCAGGTGCTGAAACATTATGCTTTACAAAATCCACATATAAATGTGACTTTCTTACTACTGATTTCAGATTGGTTCCTACTTCGGCAGTGTGGTGTGTTCAGTGGACGTTAACAGGGATTCTGTGACAGATGTGCTGCTTGTGGGTGCACCAATGTTTATGAACGACCTGAAGAAAGAAGAAGGGAGAGTATACATGTTTTCCATCACAAAGGTAAGAATGACATTGTAGCAAATCTGGAATCTGCTTCCTGCCTCTCCATCCACGAGAAGTGCTGATATTTTCATTTGCAGCTGGAGGGATTTACTGTTGTTCTCTGGACTACAGTTTTACCAAGGAAAAAGCAGTCCAAACTGCAATAGCACTTAATGACAGTGTTTGTTCTGTTACATCGGAGAGTGATCAGAAGAGCAATCCCCAGCCCCACAGCCAACTGCTGCAGCAGACTCGCTCAAGACAGCATTGCGTAGGGCTAGCTTCTTTCAAAGCAGACTGGCCACAGCATGCTAAAAAGCCTTTGGCCCAGGATCTTTTCAGGGCCTCTAAGTTACTATTTAGTGTATCTTTTTCAAAGTGATGGAAATATTGTGAGTGGTGTTTTTGTAATGAGAAACGGAGCATGTGGTTTTCCCAGGGTGTGGCCTAAGGGCAGGGGTAAATGGTGCCAAGCCTGCCTGGTTAGAGGACTGCGGATGGAGCCCTGCCCACTGCAATCTTGCCCATTCTGCTTTAGAGGAGCAGCTGCAAAATTTCCCCAGAACCACTTGTGCATGTAATCTGGGAATGTGCTAGCTGGAACAGACCGAAATGGAGTCAATAAGCAAGTTAATAGCTAAGCGCTATTAGTGACCAGGGGCCTGCTGCTCTAGGTGGCTCCCTGGTCCTGGCTTTAGGCACTGTACACAAATATAACACAAGGTTGACCATTTCCCTCAAAAATTAGCTTGAGGCTTTTCCTAATTAATTGTTTGCCATTTGATTTAGGCAAATCTGTTCAACACTGAACAGTACTCCCAAAACAGTTCCAAAAAGTGCTTTTCTACCAGTTTTCTGCATTGTTATGTGGACTTTCTTGCAGGATAATTGCTATTACTCATGTTGCCTCCTTTGTTCAGTGAAGCTATGTTATTTGACTGATGCTTGACGACTAACTGTGTTTTTTACTCAGACCTGTAGTAGGTGTTTTCAGAATCTCTGTATTAACAGTCCTGAAGCCTCTGGCACTTTTGAACAGTCTCTCAATCAATCATTGGATGTCTGGATATGCAAAGTAAATTAATACCTGCCATCCATCAGAGAAAACAGAACATGGCCTTTTAACTAGGTAAATTGCAAGCAACTAAATAGAAAGGACCATCCTCTTCAGCAGCAGTTCACAGTCAGATCATCCTGGAGCAAAAGCAAACTGTACCCTAAGGCAATTTCAATAGATGGAGGTGCTGAAAGCAGTACTGCTGGCAGGTGACATTGATCTGCGTGACTGGAATTAGACATGAAATATGGAAGAAAAGAAAATTAAAGGATTTCTTTTTCTTGTTTTGAAAACTGAATTGGAAGACTATCCTTACAACTTTTAGTCTTTGTCAAATATTAGGTTTCAAAGTTAAGAATAACAAAAGAATAATTTGGGTTTTTTTTGTTGTTGGGTTTTTTTAAAGAACTTGGATTTGTGCAACTTGTCCATGTTGCACAAATAATACTTTTCTAGTCATTTTTAATAACTAATGTGGCTGGTATTTCTAAAATTTTAAGCACAGTGTGATAACTGAGGTTAAAGTTGGAATGATATTTGCCAGAGTCTCGAATTTAAGCTAGTGTAAATGTGATGATTTAACTATAAAGATTTCCAGTCTTTCTTTCTCCATTGGCACTGGAGAGGTCAGAAGTTTAGCATTTGAACACATGTTTTTTGCATTACTTTAGTTAGGAAATTCCATTTCTGTTTCAAAGAACTATGTCCAGTTACATAATTTCCATTCCCTCTGCATAAAAACTGGTAATCCAAAACTGGAAACTGTACTTTTCAATGTATTGTGAAACTTTCAGAACAGTCAGATGAGGACAGTGAGAGTATTTAAGCTTCATACATATGGTTATATTTGCTGTTAGTGCTTTGCATAGCATGCTTTGATTTTGCTGTGTAATGCTTGCCAAGACTGAGACATAATGCAAACTGAATGGGCAATACAATGGGGAAGGAATTCAGGGTTGAGCAGTCCAAGGGGAATGTACTGGAAAACAGAAACAAAAACCAATGCACATAGATACTGGTCATATGTCTAATCTGGTGCAATGATAGCTGTGTTTTTTGTATTTCTTCTTTTTCCTTTTTTAAAGGGAATTTTGGATCAAAAAGAACTCTTGGAAGGTCCACAGGGGTCAGAAAACGCTCGCTTTGGATCAGCAATTGCAATGCTTGCAGACATCGATTTGGATGGCTTTAATGATGTTGTCATAGGTGCACCACTAGAAAACCAAAACTCCGGAGCAATTTACATTTACAATGGGTTTCAAAAGACTATACGTACCAAATATTCTCAGGTAAATAACTTTGTTGCATAATACTGTACTCAGTGCCTTTAGATCTGCCAGAGGAAAACAGAAGTATTTTATATCTTTTAATTGGCTACTGTTTCATCTTAAAGGAGTTCTGTTATTCTCATGGCTTATTTCAAGTTTTGTGCCTCTCCTTACTTCAGCTGTCAGCATGCCCAGGTTGACATGGTGCTTATAACTGAAGCATATAAAGGAAAACGACTGATAAGATGTCTGAGCCTCTCAAAACTTTTGATGCCTGCATATGAAGTCAGCTAATTTCCTGTACATTTTTGACACCCATTATTCAGGTTTTCAGGGCTGATGTACAGCAATGAAGAGTAGATAAACCCCAGCTCTGTAAATTATAAATATCTAGTATTAAAGGAAAAGACTTGCAAGAGTCTTTGCATATCCTATATGCTAATATAATGGTAATTTTACTGTTACTTTCCATGCAGGCTTTCTGGTTGCAAAAAGTATTTGTTAGAAGTCCTGTTAAGATTCCTATTCTTTGAGTTGCTCAATGTGAGATGGAAAAAGTTTCCAGTACGTACTAGCTGGCATGCAGTAGTCAGTTAGTTGATCTACTCCCAAGACAGAAAAATCTAGTCTATTGTCTGCTCCAACAGGGGATGAAAAAGTGCTTAAAAAGATCTGAGAAAACATCCACAAAAGCATTTTGTTTAAACAGGGAGTATCAGTGAAAATCTATTGCTTAGGCTGCTATCTACAGACTTAAGCATGCTTGTGGCAAATTCAGTAATCAAACTCTCTTTCCCAGAAAATTTTAGGATTGGATTCTGCTTTTGGACAACGGCTCCAATTCTTTGGAAGATCAGTAGATGGCCATAGAGACTTAGATGATGATGACATTACTGACGTATCAGTTGGTGCTGATGGAAATGTGGTTCTGCTATGGTTGGTAAACTCTTCTAAAAAGGAAGCGCTTAGTGATTCAGATGCAAGTTGAGCATTTAGTTAATTAAACAGCAAACCAAACAAAAAAGCTCTTTATTTCCATACGTTCAGAACTAACACACTTACTGCCTCATCGCTGCTATTGTAGCTATCTGAAAAACAGCATTAGACTAAACCTTTTTTAAGCATGTATCGCCAAACCATCAAAAGCCAAGGCAGTGTGGGATTAGAGCCAGGGCACGTGGGGGGGAAGCCAGGTGGCAGGGGCTGCCAGGAGAGACCTGTGCAGGGATGGGGAGGACCAGGAGACACCTCTGCCTGTTGCTGCTGTGCAAACACGTTGTCACAAGGGAAGGGGCAGCAGCAGGGAATGGGACTTATTTGAGAGTATTTGTCACACACAGCAGGTTGTACTCCAGTAGCCGCAGTATGATTTTGATAGCAGAGCCTGACACAGATGAAACCACTTCCCGCATAACCTGTGTGACCTTTACTGGCTGGTAGGCTGATATGGGGGAGACTTGTCCTGCAGGGAAGGACAGAGAACAGTGAGAGAGAGTTGGCACTTACTACTTCCAAGAAACACATCTTTTCTTATGTGTGGCCTTTGCCAGAGCAATCTGAGTACTTTCACAAAATAAAGAAGAAAGGCTTCACAGAACCCAAATCTTCTGTCTCCCTAAGTACTGTGTATTTTCCACTACTAGTTTGAGGAGCTATATTAAAATGCAGCTTGCTTTCCTATTTGTTGCCTGTCTTCTTGCCTGAGGCTCCCCATTGTAAGAAGAAAAGCATCACTGAATTGCTACTTATTTCATAATGAAACAAGACTATTAAAAATGAATGGTCAGTTTGGACCTTTGACCCACAATAGAACTGGTGCTGGTAGGAATTTCATTAAAGAAAATTATGCTCCTTGGAGTACCAGCATGTATTTAGAATTGATTAATGAAGACGCTAAATTTTCTTTCACTCTGGCATTTGGTCTGATTAATGAGTTTCACTTCTGATTAAAGTGTTTGTTTTCACATGCAGGATTCCTTTGAAACTGTTCTTCAAAACCTTGATGAAGATTTTTTTTTTCTGAAAAAATAAGATTATTAATTTAAATACCGAATTACCCTTCTTTTCCTTCACAGAGGAGCTCAGTAACTTCCCTAAAGGAGCAGAAGAAGGTTATTTACAGGGAAAACAGAAAAAGGGCTTCGTTCTCTGTTATCTCAAGGGAAGGATTAGAACATTAGGATAAATACATTGATTATCCATTAATTTGACATGATAAATTATTTATTGTCATTACTGAAAGCTACTGTATCAACAAATACACTGATAGGCAAAGAAAAATAATTTTGCTGGTACCATTAAAAATGCTTATATTGGTAACCTAAAAATCAATGTTACGTTTACAGATAGTAATAGGTAACAGCTTCTATGTTATCCAGTGCTCTTGAAAATCACACATAACCTTTGAAAAATATTTTTCAGGTCACAAAGCATTGCAAATGTGTCCATAATTGCCTCATTTAAACCTGAGAAAATCAGTCTGCTGAACAAGAACACAGAAATAACTGTTAAAATATGTTTTCAGGCTACATTTAGACCTGCGAGGAGAAACAATCAAGTGGGTAAGACTATTTCAATGACTTGTCTTAAATTAATTTCTTCAAAAGTCCATTATTCAAATGAGTAGTGGAAATTCTAAAGATACATTAGATTGAATGTCAAGAAAGGAAAAATCAGTATAGAACTTACATGCTTGAGAAAGTGTTTTTAAGACCTACTTTCATCACTGCCTCCATAATCTTTGAAAACTGAGGAATTAACTGTATAAAGGAGAGCTGTATCCTTGCTGTTCAACAAACCCTAGAAAATTTCATTAGCAAGAAGCTGACTTTTTTTCAACCTGCTGATTTCAACAGCAGACTTCACTTTCCTCCTCTCTTCAGGAAAAAAAAAAATATATTCATAGGCTCAGTGCAGATGTCAGTGGGGAGAAGCTCTTTTCAGAGGACAAGAGAGCACCAAACGCTTCTGAGACTTGCACTGGCCTCTTGTGAAGCTATTTCATTAAACATCATTGATAACACCAGTTGGACTGCTTCAGTGCTATGTGTAGTACCTTTAGGAACTCATGATTGTGAGATATAACATAATGGTGAACTTCCACAGCATATTAGTCATAGTATCAGGAGAAGACGACAGAAATTATTATGTGATTGAAGAGAAGATGCAGATTTTTTTATAGCGTCCTTGGAGTTCAGGAATATTTTTGCAAGGCCCCTTTATCTAGCATAATCCTGGCCCTGCTGACTGGCTTCTTGCCTGAGCTGCAGGCTCAGGCATCTGCAGTGGAGACTGGACTGATTGCCATTTAATGTGCTCTCTGTGGGAGACGTTATATCAGGATTTAAACCTGTTTGACTGCTCTGGAAAACACAAGAGAAAATCTTTTCATTTTGAGACTGCTCTGTGCTTAGCAAGATACAAAAAAGGTAAAATACTTGGCGTGGTTTGGAAAGCCTGGTCACACTAATGCTGAGTGTAGTAATGAGATCATGCGCAGTCATACTCAGCAAAAAATGTACTGTTATTCTTTTTGTAGCTATAAAGTACAATGCAACGTTGGATGCAGATCTCCAGTCCTCTAGAGTGACTTCTAGAGGATTGTTCAAAGAAAATAATGAAAGGTACATGCAGAGGGATCTTGTGGTACGTGATGAGAATTGTGTTCATGACATCTTCAGTGTACAGGTAAGTGCAACTGCAATATGTGCAATATGTGACAATAATGATCAGAGCAAGACACTGATGAATTTTATGTCTGCAAAATTAATTTCATGCATGGTGTACTCAATGATTTACGTTTCTCAAATACCTCAATATTTAATAAGATTCTGATTTCAAAGAAAGTAATAACTGTCAAATTCAGCATAGCTTTTTAGGATAGAAGAGGCAGTTCTTAATTATGTAATTCATCTCTGACATAGCACAAAGCCCATTGTCCATAGTTTCAATAGATTTTAATTTCCCTCTGAGTAGATTATTCTGTAAGAACTAAGATGTACATGCAAATGTTTTCTCTCAAACATGATTTCAGGCAGACTTCTGATGTACGCTAGCCCTAGATGTACACCTAGGAAAAAAATAAAAATAAGCAAGTCTCCATCTTTCTCTAGAACCAAAGACATAGCACAGACTTGAGAGTTGCTTTGAGACCCCTGGATGATGCTAGGTCAGGTAGAGGACTTTGATTCCTGCTTTGCTCTGCAATTCAAATGCCTTAGACTTGTTGATCACATTTAGTGCCACTGTGGAATGATGACCCATAGAGCTAGAAGAGTATTCATCCAGTATTAAGAAACAGAGGAGCCATGAGGTATATCATGTTTTAGTGTCACTCAGGCCCAGCTGCTCTTTGTGATGGTAAGGCAGAGTGGAACAGGAATTTGACTTCTGCAGCCAGGTGAGAATGAACGTCACCTGGTGTGGTAGCTTTTGAGGACCAGTTTCTGCAGCCACAGAGAATCTGTGTGTTCCTTAGCCCTAGAAGTGACTGTGATTAATTGGGTCTCCAGGAATCCTAAGGAAATAAGTTTTATCATGCAAATGGAACTAAAAGCTGTTTAGCAAGAGGAGCCCACACTAAGCAATCTCACAAAATTATTTCAGTCAAGAAATGAAGCTTTGTACTGTTATTCTTTTGTTTAGAGCAAATATGGTTTTACTAGGCAGTCAATTTACAACAGAATTACCAATTTTATCCTGTTTGCTGTGCTGGCAGCTATCATAACTCAACCACGTGTTTTATAGGAACCTTCCGATGCAGTGAATTCACTTAGTTTGCGCATTGACATTGGCCTTGCTAATCCTGGCTCCAGCCCTGTCCTTGATATATATTCTCCTGCATCTGTGGCCTATAGTGTAAGTATGCAGACTTAGTATCAATAAATGCATGGCTATACACATGTCCATAGTATGTGGCCCCCATAAACACCAAAGAAGCACATCCAAGTGAAAACTGGTGTAGTCTAGTTAAGTCACTGTGCTGAAAACAGGCACCTGGCGGGGTGTCCCCTGGTTCCTTTTATACCTTTGTCTGTATTGTGTGGGCTTGCTCACACACCCACATCAGCCATCATGGGACAACAAGCATGGTGGTTGAGCCATGTCACATGTTGATGTGAACTTCTAGTTGATGGCAAAGATGAACTATTTTAGGTTAGCGTATCCTACAATAAAAGAGTACATAAAAGAGAAGTAGAACCCCTTTGATTACATCACATTTTTGTGGGTTAACAATAACCTGCCTGCACCATTCTTATGGATCAGTTGACTTGTAGTGTTACTCAGTGTTAACCTTGTTCATGTGTCAGTTTTTATTACCCTTCAGAGGGATTTTCTTATCTGCAAACCTAGAATGTGCTTCACCTCAAAGATGTTTGCACTGTACTGTTTGCAGATAATTTTAAAGTTGAGTCCTGTCATTAAGGAAATGTTTTTGGTTTTCATAGATTCCTTTTATTAAAGACTGTGGTGAAGATGAACTTTGTATCTGTGATCTTGTTGTGAATGTTCAGCGGAAAGCAGATGATGGGTAAGAGCTGAATCAGTGGAATTGTTGGCGTCAGGTGTTAAGTTTTCACCAGTTGTTTTGTCTGTAGGCCTTGGATGAATTTCTAGATGACAATGCCTTTCTAGTTCAACATGTACTTAGAAATAGCAGGGATTAAAAAAAAAAGCAATAGCATTGCTGTCTAAATAACTAATCAAGGAAAAAGAGGTATGATAGGAACACAGAAATAGGGATCTTGTCAGTTTAGACAAACCCAAGTTTTGGTACCTTAGGGGTGAGGACACAGTGAGCGTTCAGAAGAATCGTGGCTGGCTTCCTGCTGTCAGGACAGGGAGCACACTGGGAGAGCAGGAGTGGCTGCAGCACCTGTCTTGGACCCTCCTGTGGGGAGCAGTGAAGATCCTGCAGCAGGTTGACCCACTGGGAAGCTGAGTTCAGCCATTTGGGCAGCACATATTCCAAGTCCATATGCAGATACATGCATACTTGTACAGTACATAGAGAGATGAGGCTGCCTCTTCCTGGAGCTGCCATCCAGGTCTGCTGCCTCTTTGCTTGAAAACTCAGTAAAGTGACTTTCACCATACATAATCAAGGTCCTGCACATTCAGAAGACACTAATCCTGTTTGGTTTTAAGAAACACCAGTACAGAGTTTCTTATGTCAAAGCATTTAGAAAGCAAAGTGTTTAAGTGAGTAGAATGTAAGAAATGTCTTGCTGTGCGTCTTATTTGTTGTTGGCTAAAGGCAATACATTGTCATGATCTGCAGCTGTTCAATACCTCTGTTTACAACTTTGGACTTTATTTTCCAACAGCAATCAGCAGTTTGTTGTCAGCAGCAAAAACAGAAGACTAACATTCAACGTGAAATTGAGAAATAAAAAGGAAAATGCATATAACACCAGAATCCAGGCTACATTTTCAGACAATTTGTTTTTTGCTTCATCGTCTTTACCGGTATGTGACACCAAACCTCATGATTTCTGTTATTGCCACTGATCATAGAATCATAGAACCATTAGGTTGGAATAGACCTCTGAGATCATCAAGTCCAACTGTTGACCTGATACCACCATGCCCACTAAACCATGTCCTGAGGTGCCACATCTACATGTTTTTTGAACACCTCCAGGGATGGTGACTCCACCACTTCCCTGGGCAGCCTGTTCCAATGTTTGACCACTCTTTCAGGAAAGAAATTTTTCCTAGTGTCCAATCTAAACCTCCCCTGGCAAAACTTTGAAGTCATTTCCTCTTGTCCTATCAGATGTTATTTGGGAGAAGAGCCCAAACCCCACCTTGCTACAACCTCCTTTAAGACAGCTGTAGAAGTGACAAGCTCTCCCCTCAGCCTCCTCTTCTCCAGGCTAAACAGCCCCAGTTCCCTCAGCCGCTCCTCACAAGACCTGTTCTCCACACCCTTCACCAGCTTCGTTGCCCTTCTCTGGACACGCTCCAGCACCTCAGTGTCCCTCTTGCAGTGAGGGGCCCAAAACTGCACACAGCATTCGAGGTGCGGCCTCACCAGTGCCGAGTACAGGGGCACGATCACCTCCCTGCTCCTGCTGGCCACACCATTTCTGATACGGGCCAGGATGCTGTTGGCCTTCTTGGCCACCTGGGCACACTGCTGGCTCATGTTCAGCTGGCTTATGTCAACCAGCACACCCAGGTCCTTTCCCGCTGGGCAGCTTTCCAGCCACTCCTCCCCAAGCCTGTAGCGCTGTGTGAGGTTGTTGTGACCCAAGCGCAGGACCCGGCACTTGGCCTGGTTGAACCTCATGGCATTGGCCTCAGCCCATCGATCCAGCCTGTCCAGGTCCCTCTGCAGAGCCTTCCTGCCCTTGAGCAGATCAACACTCCCACCCAATTTAGTGTCATCTGCAAATTTTTTCAAGGTTTTCAGTGAAATTTTTTTTTCTTTCTAGTAGTGCCTATACCAGGAAAGAATGTGTGTGCAAACCTCTCTCTTTTCCTGGATACCAGAATTAATCCCTTCAGCATATCAGTTTATTTAGGTCAAGGAGAGACACTGCCAACTCAGCACAAAAGTTGGCAACCTGTTGAGTTTGACCTCACCTCAGTATTTCAGTCATCTTTTCCTCACTTTAGGCCTTGGCACCCACATCTTCTGTTTGACTTCCAACAACATGCCTGAATGCAGTTGCTGTGCTACAGGGAATTTGTATTTGATAAATCAAGCATGCAGCATCAATGATGCAGCCTTCAAGCACAGACTTTGCATTTAGAAGTGCTCTTACTGCCAAGGCTGTGTGTTCCAGCTAGATAGTTAATCAGATTGAAATGATTGCTATACCAGAAGCTGCTCTTCCAATGAATTTTGTCTTAGGCAGGGGAAAAGAAAGGAATTATAAATACTATTTTGGGAATACAATAAATCTATAATCTCAACTGTTGCTCCCAAACAATTCATGAAGGATGAAATCCAGACTTCAAGTGCTTGGCTTATGTGGTCAGGCTGCTACTGGAGAGTTGCATGATAATCCTAGGGGTGAAATCCAGATCAATTCCTGTACTGGAGGGAGAGGAGGGATAGGAGCACTTATCACTGCTGGAGAGAAGCATTTTTCTGAACAACAAACTGGCAGAAATACTCCACACAGCACTGAGGGTACCCCTCTACCTCCCCATCCTGTTGTGCAGCAAAATTGATCATTCCACTCATGCCAAAAGACTGCAACAGAGCTCGAATTTTCTTTTGCTTTAAAAGCCCATTTGCTTAGAAGTACTTCGGCCTGCAAATGAAGCTTTTCACCAAAAATATGCTTGCTTCTCAGCATAAGCTGAGAATGTATGCATGTTGTGTTGTGGCGGGTGTGGTGGTGTAGCATAATTCATGAATGATAAGTGTCTGCTAAGGACGCTTGTAACAAAAGACAGCACACTTTAATAAATTCTTTTTAAAGTGTTGGTAACTGGCTATGGTCTATGAGCTTGTCTGTGATGTGGGATGATGACATGCTAAACACTCTGCAAAGTAGCAAATAAACCCTCATGTGTTGTAGATTTTCCTACAAAAAGTACGATAGAGTTCCCCTCTGCACATTAACTTCAACAGTGAGATTACTTAACTGGTTCTCAGGTTGCGTGTGTATGTTCGCAACAGTTCTGTAAAAATGCTGTAAAAAAGCCCTGTAGGAATTAATGCCGGAAGTGACCTGTACTACCTAGCCTGTATTCCTTCTTCCAAGCTCAGCACAAAATTCTGACAAGATCATTACAGCTCACAAGACTAGTCCTTGTCCCGCTTTTTTCCTGCCTTTCTCCTAGACTTACCTATGCCACACCCATCTACTGCATCTCTAGAAATTACAGCCATAACACATGTTTTTACAACTCCTTAGTGTAATACATGTCCTGTTGAAGATACAGACTGGGAACTTCCTCTCTGCTTTATCAAAACCTGATACTAAGATGACTTTTCTGTTTCCTCTGCAGAGTGATGGGACTGAAGTTTCGTGTCAGACAGGAACAGCACAAAGTACAGTCATTTGCCAAATGAACTATCCTGTTTTCAGAACAGGACAACAGGTACAGCTAACATGTTTAAATAACCTTAAATGATACCCAAAAGCTTTGTTGTTTTCCCCTAAATCTGCATTTATTGCTAGTGAGGATTTCTTAGATCTGACAACAGTTAACTTCCTTTTGGGTTTCAGAGCGATCAGAAGAAGCAAATGAAGGGCTAAACTTTTGTGACTCCTCACCAGATTAGAAGGAAAAAAAAAAAGCTCTTCAAGGACATTTGTCCCTACCCACAGCTTTCAAATGCTAAAGTAGCTTTCTAGCTCTTGGAGGGTGAGGGCTGGGAGCAGAAGCATAGCCTTTTGAGAACTGAGCACAATTCCCATCAAACCCTTCCTGCTGCGTGAATCTGGGGTAGCTTCCTTTCCTGCTCTGTGAATCTCATCTCTCCAAGAAAGCAGTATTCCTTTGAGAGGAGATGGGCAGCCCACACAGCCCTAGGATAGAATGTGTATCTTTTTTCTCATGTCTACCATAAATCTCAGAATATCCATGGTTTAATGGAACATAATCTCTTATTCCTCAAAAGCAGAACAGAAATAGGCTTCCAGTCTCTAACAAAATCAACTGCAGCAATAAGAAACTTTCTAGAAATAATAGAAACATGACGTTCTGTGGCAGAGGGAGCAAAATCAAAAAAATTAGTTACATACAAAAAGTTAAGTTTGTTCTGAATTTTGAATAGTATTGGTAAGAGTGGACCTGTTGGAATGAATGGAAGAAAAGAATTAATACAAAGCTTGTGTTAGCCCTAATGTTTAAAAGCATATAATTGAAGCAATCTTGAACAGGTTTTGATGCAGCTTGTAGCTAGTTATACACCATTTAAAAATATAAATAGCGCATGTCTATATAACAATGCCAATTTGTAGGGTAAACCAAGAACAAAGCAGTTCTGGAGTATCAGAAATTACTGAAATACTACACAGAAATTGGTGAATTCAGATACAGAGGGCAATTCTAGATTGTTGCACATATGAATAATTACATTGCTATTGGGAAGTCCTTTGGATGTTGTACCATCAATTTACTTACTGTGTGTTCCTCACCTCTTCCATAGGTATCCTTTGATATTAGCTTTGATTTTAACATGAAAAATCTTCAGAATGTGGCAGTTCTAAGTTTTTGGGCATTGAGGTAAAGTATGTAATTGTACCAAAGCAAGTTAGGTATTAATCCCTTATTTGTATAAAATAGTATTATAACACCTGACTTAAATGTGTTTTGATGAACAGTGAAAGTAAGGAAGATCAAGAATTGGACAATCATGTCAGCTTATCAATTCCTTTGCGATATGATGCAGAAATTCACTTCACAAGGTATGCTGAATAATGTATTGCCATGGCATTTGAATATAGTGACAGTCTTGAAAGGCCACTGAAATGATAGTGAAACTGTTTTCATTTTGGAAGTAATAAAAATTCCCACTTCATCAACAGTAGCAGAATTTTATGTTCTTCCAATAATCTTACATGTAAGAAATTAGGGATGTGTAGTAAAAATTGTGGATCCATGTTTACCTCTGCACGATGGTTACAGATGCTCACGTGAATGGAAGTGGTATAAAAATCAAGGCTGATCCTCTGGGCTCTCAGCAAAAGCAGGGGGGTGGGGGGAGGGAGGGAATAACTATGGACATACCTGCTAAACTTGGACCAAAAATACAAACTCTTGTTAGCAGTTTGGGGTAATAGTTTAAACTAAAACCTGCGGTGGCACATGGTAGATTCCCCCTTGCTGCAGCTCCATTGGCATCGGGGGCAGCACACCCCGCTTTCCTACACGCCCGCTCAGAGACTCTGGGTTACACCTACCCCTTCTCTCCTGGTGTCAGCCCTTTTCCCTCTCCGCAGAAGGCAGGTCAGTGCTGTTGAAAGAGCAATCCTTTACCCTGGAAGGGCAGTTTGAAGGAGAGACAGCTGGATGAGCAGGGTGAGAGATACAGACAAAAATCCCTTGAAGACTGATCATCATATCATATGCCCATGAAACCTCCTGTCTTCAGCCCTGGAAATCCCTGGTCATTTGGGATGCACTGAAATGCTAGTTAGTCCGTTACCGTTCCAAACACAAATTATTTCAGTTACAGTTGAACTTAAATTAGAATGGAAACAAAAATTCACTCGTTTGACTCATGGATCAAGATAGAATGTTTTACTTTTCATCAAAGAAGAAATTTGTTTATCTTTCCCAATTACTGAATTTCTAGGATAAATTACATGTAGTTACATTTGATGCACTTGGTCACCAATGCTTGGTGAAAAAATGCTTTTGCATTCCAAAACCTGTAAACATAAACTGAACTCACAGAAAATAAATAGTAATTATTCAAAGAATGACAGAAATTTGAAAAAGAGGAAGCTGCTTAAAAATGGACAGCAACGACGACTCCAGGAAACAAATATCCAAAGATCACTATAACTACAAGAACTGTTGGCTGCGTAGGATGACCTGAGCTGGAATAAGGACCACAGTACAGAGGATTAGTTTAATAACCTGCTTTGCAGCAGCAGGTTCAGAATATTCAGAGGCTCTGCAGTCACTGAGGCTAGGTGCACCAATTCTGCAGTCACGCAGATTTTTTCAGATTATTTTAATTGCAGAGAAGCATTTGAGTCAGTGATGCAAGTTCTTTCAGCTCCCTGAGAAAGCTGCATAAGACTTCAGCAAAAGCAGAGCATGTTAGTAATGTCAGCAGTGGCACAGAGGTTACAGGAGCATCCGACTAGGGGGCTAGCACAGCAACTTAAGCAGGCTCCTAGGAAACTGAGGTGGTGCAAACTTGAATCAGCAAATTTAAATAGCTGAGAAACATGAACAGAAACTCAGTGCCTCAGAAAAGTCCTGGCATGGAGTCTATAGAAGAACTACTCAAGGAAAAACAAGAGGTTTGAATTCAGATGCATCTCCCAAGTATGAGACAATGCAATTTCATATGCAAGTCAAGGCATGAAGGAATTCCTACTGCCAGAACAGGATTAGTTATTCTTGGAGATTAATCAATTTAAAAGAACTAAAGGAAGCAGATATTAAGCCAAGGTACAATTTTAAATGCTTCCCTTGGAGTTAGCTCATTTTTACACCCTTCCACTTAGGAAATGTCTATCTGGAGATAGTTTCTTCTTGAGGAAAGTAATACAGCTGAGGAGCAACCTCTTAAAATACAAGGCTTGAGAAAAAAAAGTGTTGTCTTGCTGAAGTGAAGGCTTTCTAGGGAAAAATCTCCTAATCTCAGTTTCCAGGAAAAGAGGTGGGAATCAGATTTACCAGTGACTCCTGCAAGGACAAGGAAGCTGATGGCTGTGCATCCTGGAAGGACTGGAGGCTTGAGCAATAAGGAAGCAGAAAATGCATCACATGAGTTTTTCCAGGGGTTCTTGTGAGGAGGCCTTTCAAGGAAAGGGCCCATGGGAGGAAGTATGGAGACTTCTAAAGAATCCACAATGCAGCATGGAGGAGCACAACTGATTATTAGGAAGCACCTCTGTGGGACTGCACATGTTAATTTGGGATTGTACACACAGATGTTACCCAGATTAAATGAGGAAAGTGGCACCGGTAAAGAGGATGGATTTGCACCTTGTGCCACAGGAAGAGCTGATGTAGGAATCATGATAGCTGCTGCTCCTTGTTAACTCACTCCCTAGCTTACTTTTTGACTGCTCAAATTAGCCTCCTAATGAAAGTTAATGA